GATGGGATGGGATGGGATGAGATGGGATGGGTTGGGATGGGATTGGAAGGAATGCTCTGAGAACAGCAAGTGCCTGTGCTATGTAGCCAAGCAGCAAAGGTGGTCTGGCTTTTCCTGCTGAACGTTCTAAAGAAACATTTTAAGTGAACACACAGAAACTCATACTAATTAAGTAACAGTATTCTGTGGAGACCCGTGGTAGACACTGCAACAGGGCATTAGCAAGCTGTGCATATTCAGCAATGCTGAATTCTTTCAGACATCATCTACAGGGAATTCTGCCTAAGTGTGGACTTGATAATTTGTCCCTTTGTGTGCACGTGTAAGTGTTCCTAAGGACGTGGTTTGGTCTGCAGAGCCCCTGTTACTGGAGGTGCTGTTCAAGAAAGGGAGCATCCATTCTGAGTCTTGGAAGCCAGGCTGGGATGGTAGGATGGGTTTTCACAGCTTTTCCTGCTTGTAAACAGACATTAAAGATGGAGCCCTATGATGGGATTTTAACTTTTTTTTCCCCTCTGTGCAGACACTTTTTTGAAAAGAGTTACAAAATATGGTAGTTCTCAACAGACCAAGTTATGACCCAGCATTTTTCAATGAGACACAGGCATGTGAAAACATGCACAGGCACCTCACCAAGTGGTGTGGCAGTGTAGCCTCGTGTCTTGGAGCCAAAGCTACCTGGTGAGCTGCTGCTGAACAGAGTTGTCACAGCTTTGTGTTCTCTTCTCCTGGCTGGCAAAGTGCAGCTAGCAGGGAATGTATTTTCTCTCACTGCTGGAGCAGGATAAGGACATGTCAGCAGCACAATTAAAGATGAGGACATGTAAGTGGGACAATTAAGGATGACTCAACTGACAAGAATTAGCTGCTACATTAGCCTTTTATATCTTGCCCTGCCTCTTATTTTCAGAGGGTTGTTAACCTGGTCACCCCTGGTAAGGCTAATTGTGTGTGAATCTGAAGACCCCGAGTGTGGGTGCTCATAAAATAGAAAGATGACTTGCTAATGGGACTTCATGCACATTTGGTACTGTTTTGTCATTGCTGCCTCGTCAGCAGAAACAGCAGGTGGGTTTGCAGGTCCATTCTGAGCAGAATGCCACTTTTTGCCACCGGTGCTGGAAGTCTTGGATGGAAGGATGTGTGTTCTCCCTGTGTCACTGCATGTTGTCAGAGCTCAGTTGCAGCAGTGAGGATCTATTTGTGCTCTTTGCAAATATTCACAAAGCAGCACGGCATAATCGTCCCTCTGCAAGCATCTCTCTCCAAACTATTGTTTAAAACTGCCAGCCACATCTTTGTTCTTTATTAAGAGGAAGGAGTCTGTGGGTATCAGGAGATAATCATTCCCCAAGGGTGTTTGAAACACTTCACAACCAAAAGGTTCTGATTGCTCCACGACTGCCGTACTGCTTATTATTCCTTATTGCTTAATTATGGAATCAGAGTGTGTTTTCCTGGATGCTGTCATCTGAATGAGATTCTCCACTTCTCATGCTCTGCCTCAATGTTACATGGGCTGGAAATCTCTGTAGATGTACAGGGCAGGCCAGTTCTGGAAGCTCTTCTGATTACTTGAGAGGGAAAAAGAGCATTCATAAATGAGGCTGTGTATCCAGAAAAGAAAAAAATCTTCCTCTGAAGTAAATGCCTGTTTGTGTTGAACCCACAACTTTGGTGTTATTGCAGAATATTCTAACCCATCTCCCTGGTTCAGTGAATCTCACATGACTTGCCTCCTTGAAAAGAAATGTACTCTTGTGGCTTCACATTGGAAAAAAAAAATTATAAAGTGTGGTCTTTTCCAGGCTCACTTGGCCTAGAAAACTACTCTGAATTACTGATTTTGTAAAATCTTGGATTTAATGCTTCACTGAATCATGTAATCTACTCTAAGGAAGGGGAAAGCCACTCAGTGTGTATTTTTGCCTTAGCCTTGATTTTTGGAGTGTATTCATTCACAGGAAGATGAGAAGATGGGTGATAAAACTCAGGTTTCTAAATCATCACCCAAATTTCCAGGTGAAACTCCTTCTAAACTTAATTCCTTAAACTTGTTCCTGGAAACTCGAATAAGAAATAGACTGGGTGAAAATCCCTTATTTTCACAAGGTTGGCATAAAGTTTGCTTAATGAGGTGCCTTTTATGGCAGCACTTGATTTTTAAATCCCTCTTTTCATTGCTGAAATCCAAATGTTAGTAGCACCTTCCATCATGGCTCTGTGTGCCAGTGTGGCTTCTGCAAGAGGCTGCCTGCAGTCCTGCCAGCAAGCTCTTGTGTCATAAAAAAGAATTTGTTCTGGAAATAAAAATGTATTGTTTTCATTGTTAGAGGATGCTACTAAATTGGCTGTATGTTTGTCTAATAATCACATCTAAAGCTGATTATTCTCATAATAGCCTTAAGATATTATTTAAAAATAAATATATAAATGCACAACTTTTGTACTAATACTAGTTTTTAATCTCTTCTTGTTTCTATGAAGTCTGAATGAGATTTTCAAAATTGAATAATAATTTGATCCGTTAATCTTTTGAAGCTAGTAATTTTATTTTCCCCTCTTTGCAGTCTCTGAGGCTCACAAATGAATAGAGCTTCATTACTGGAGTCTGCATTTAATAACCATTATCCATTATCTTGTAATTAAGACTCCCTGTAACGAATCATGAGGACAATGCAAAAATACATAGTACATTTCTTTAATGAACTGGAAAATGTTCATCTTGTTCTATTTAGTAATGAGTTGCTGAATAGTCATTAAATCCACTGGAGAATAGAACTAGATGGATTTTGAAGACTATCTTGAGTTTGTGGTTAATCTATTAGAATTAAAATTTCATCTTCTATTTTTATCAACAGCTGATTAGAAGTCATTCTGTTTGACCAAATTGATTAGAAGACCATATACAAGGGCAGCTGTTGTTTAATGAAAGTTTTTAATGAAACTGTACCATAGAGACTTGTAATTATAAGACTTATAAAAGCTTTGACTTACCTTATAGCAGAAAAAAAAATGAGAAGCATTGCACTGAAGGACTTTAAGTGCTACATTTCGAAAGGGAAATTAAAAATATAATTTGGTGATGTCGAAGTTTCACTTCCAGTGCTGCTTGTTTTAGTGTGACTGTCAGATGTCCGTGGTGTCTCTCTGGAAGGGGAGCAGCTCTGAAATGTGCAACTCAATTGTCTCTGCTGTGTGCCCTGCTCTTTGCTAAGCTCTGTCTGCTATTAATTGCCTCTTTTGCACTTCCCGTGGATTTGGAATCTTTCTTGCAAACAGAAAATGGAAGAAAATGGATGTGGTCACAGGAGGGTGCAGTTGAATCAGCCCTGGGCCTTGAGAGCATCCCCCAGAGCTCCTGGTGCCATTTGATGGCGTTTGGGAGGCACAGAGACTCTCCAGCCCTGTGCCATCCCTGGAGGATGCTGCAGCTCACCCAGTGCACTCAGGGCAGCTCCTTTGCTTGGAGCCAGGGCTGAACCTTCCCTTCCC